CGTCCAGGGCCATCTTTAATATTGATTGGACCCTGGGCAAACATTTTCTCTGGCCCCCCCGCCCCTAACAGTCACGCCATGCCCCCATCACGCCCCCGCCTCTTGCAACATCCTCCTCCTGCAGAGCAGATAGGAGGAGACATCAGAGGGGGACGTGACCCCGCGTAAGACATCATGCGGTCACGCTACTCAGCGTACAGAAGGGGCGGAGCAACACTATCCAATGCCGATTGCATAGTGAACAGAACGGTGCTGCGTGTGTATCTTTAGCAGGCTCAAAAGGCAGCTGCTTTGGGCCCCACAGCAATGACTGGGCCCGGGGCAACCGCCCCTTTTGCCCTGCGTTAAAGACGGCCCTGCCCACGTCACCTTCATAGTCCCAGCTCCCTATATCTCCCCCTTCGTGTCCGCAGTAGCTCTCTATTCGGCAGCGTTCTGTGTGATGAGGGGGGTGGGGATAGCACCGCTTCCCACTCATTGGCTGCAGCGCCAGCTGGATCATTCTTCACGCTGCGTCCGGTACAAGGTGAGGGGAGCAGCGTGAAGCATGTAGGGCCCAGGACAGGAGGAAGAGGTCCCGGGACTGACATTAGCGGTTACCGGGATAATAAATATCCTGGTAATCAGTGGTTACCAGGGGCCCCTTCCTCCTGTCCTAGCCCCCTACAAATGGCGGAACTCCAGGGCCCGGTCGCAGCCGCGACCTCTGCGACTCTGGTAGTTCCGCCACTGATTACATGTGGACTGACACAGGTGCAGCCACTGTCACCCAGTCATCAACTTCAATGGGGATAGTGGCTGCATCTGAACAGGGACAGCTGGCATTTGTGTCGCAGGCATCCCAAATCGCCTTGTGTGATTGGGGCCTAAGAACATTCGATTTCTCCCCAATTCTCACAACAACTGGCTATTTCTCACAGAACCAATGTACATGTAGTTTTGCTGGATGAATAACTACGCACATCTTTTTATACATAGACCCCTTTGTGACATCTCAGGAGGAGTACATAGGCTGGAGAGCAGTACACACAATGTATACATTTACAGGAAGACACATTGTAGGGGGGTATGCACAGCCAGGAAGGCGGTATGGGTGACATCCCAGGAGGCGTACATAGGCAGTTTGGAAGTATGGATGATGTACACACTCGATGAGGCGGGACGGGTGAGATGTCATAGTAGGGGGTGTGCACACTCGATGGGGCGGCACGGGTGATACGTCATAGGGGGTGTGTGTGCTCAGCCAGGCTCCGTGCACAGAGGAGGGGGCGGGCGGCAGGAGAAGGAAGGCGGTTCCCGGTGTCATCTTTGCCCTTCCTCTAAGCTCACACACCGGATCGCTCTCACTTGTGTCTGGGCTTCGTTCGCAGACCCCGACCGTCTTCCGCCCACCGCCATGCCCAGATACGAGATGGCTCTGATCTTGAAGGCCATGCAAAGGGTGAGTGTCATTGTCACTCTGGCTCTTCCTTCTCTCTTACAGGCAACGTGCTCGGCTCTGATTGGCACACGGCGGGGCTCCTCGTCCTTCCCAGGGGCCCCACGTGTCCTCTGCTGCTGGCAGGTAAGTGTCCGGGGCCCCGGGTCAGTCTGCAGCCCTGTGTGTGTGTGCGCGGATCGGGGGGAGCGGAGGGAGCCCGGAGCATGGAGATACGAGGCTGGAGAGGGCGATCACCCCCTGTGTGCTCTCTGCCTGGGTGTGATACAATGACACATGCATGTATGGTACAATGATATGTACTCTACACATGCTTGTATGATCTATGATACAATGACATGTACTCTACACATGCTTGTATGATCTGTGATTATAATGACACATGGCTATATGATCCAATGACACATACAGTGTCATATAGATATGATACAATGACGTGTGATCATAGATAAGATACGATGTCATGTGCTCTACACATGTGTGATCATGCATATGATACAACATGTACTGTACACATGGTTGTATGCTCTATATCTATCACCATGATATGTTCTCTGCATATGACTGTATGATTGTAGACATATGTACAGATGGCTCTATAGTGTATATCCATATAGATATCATACATTAAGATGTACTATACTCATGGTTGCATGATATAGATATATACCATGCAGTGTACAGTACATTTCCCTGAATTATATATTTTTTGTGTGCTAGTAAGCTGTGTGTGTCATATATATATATATATATGTATATGTGTATATATATGTATATGTGTGTATATATATATCAAGTATATATCGTATAAATATACAGCCATTTGTACGATAAATTATGTAGTATTATGTACATTTGTGTGAAAAAGTAAGTACACCCCATGAAAATTGGTTGACGTTTTAACATTTTGACAGGAAAAACATTAGATCTTCTTTCAAATAGTTCCTACAGATAGTCGTGATATGCTTGAGCAGATCAAAATACATACACACCCATCGCACTCCTGACCGGATAAAAAAAACAAAAACTAATTGTAGGGTGGGTGCTGAAATGACCGCGGATGCCTCCGCAATATAAGTCCAAAGATGCTCTAATTATCTGTTTTGCCTGAGGAAGGGACTTTGCTTTTCCGAAACGTCGCTCTGATGATGTGACACCTGTGAAGTCAATAAACATTGACTATTCTGCATGCTGGAATGCTTGAACAGAGGTCACACACAACTGACATGGAGTTTACATGAAATAAATTGACTTTAAATACAGATTTGTCATGTGTAAAAAAAAGTAAGTACACCCCTACATTTGCCACCACTTCATGTCCATGAAATTAGAACCCGGTGTTCCAGCTCGGGGGCCATCTATTAGAACCTCCTTAGGGAGTATGCAGGTGGAACCGGTCTTATTTAGAGCTCAGACATCTCGGGTCTGGTGTTCTCTATTGACATGTGTTGGTGTTATCGTGCCAAGATCAACAGAGCTTCTCAAAGACAAGATGCCAATGAGTCTGGCGAGGGATTTAAAAAGAACGGCAAATAAACTGAAACCAAACATTCCACTGTAAGGAAAATTTAATCTACAAGTGACGTAGATTTCGAAAGGGCTGCTAATTTTCCGGCCCAGCAAGTTCAGCCCAAGAGCTGACTGTTCTATACTAAAAGAACCCTGCAAGAACCCCAACATTTCATTGTGGAGGGCTCAGGTAACTCTGGCAGAAGTTTGGGTTAGAGTGCATACATCTACGGTCATAAAGAGGTTGGACCAATTCAACCTGCACGGGAGGTATGTCCAGAAAAAGCCTTTACTGTCCAATAAAAGAACATTAGAGCACAATTACGGTATGCCATTGAACATATAGGCAAAGTCCAGGACACCTGGAACAACGTGGTGAAGACTAATCAAAAAAAGATGGGCTCAATTCACATATAGCGTTTGCGTTTCGGCACGAAAACGCTAAAATCTTTACATCTGCTCGGATTCCGCTCGTTTGCGGCTATTACTATAGCTTTGAACGCGCGGAAACCGCCCCTGAGACCGTGCGTGGACTATTTTGCTGGTTTTGTACCGCACAGTCCCCGCAATAGTCTGAACAATGCACTTTAAAAAAAAAGTTTTTTGATCGGTTCCGCGCATATTCGTACGCCCGAATATGTGCGGAAAACCGCTCATGTGTGAACGGAGCCTAATAGCAGAAATGTTTTCTGCAAACTGAGGACAGCATTTTAGGAGAACCTGAAAACAACTGCAGGGGTGCGGGATTCCTAATGCGGGTTTTTTCTTTTTCCTACATTTAGCTCTGCTGGGGGCAAAAAGGACTAAATGTAGAGCCGATGCTAGTTTTTTACAGCCACCCAGATCACTTGTAGCGGCCAGCTTGTCCGTCCCGTTGGCTTTTCGCCCCCCACCCCCCATTTATGGTTTTAGGGGTCCCCCACTCTCCTGGGGGACCCGGACCACGGCAATGAGTTCAGAATGGGAGAGTGGGGAACCGACCAGAGAATGTCTGTTAATCAGTGAGACAGGAGCGCTGTAGTTACATCCTTCCGGTCGCAGCTGTCACAAACCAGGCTGCACAGAGGATCGAACACAATGCTGTGCTCTATCTCCTGTATTGGAGGGTGTGCTCCATAAAGAGAACCTGTCACCTCCAAACGCTATCGCATATGGGTTTGTTGACCCCTGTGTGATAGCACAAAAAGTTAACAAAAAAAATATTAAAATAAACATTTTAAAACGTGATAAAGTAAAAAAAACTAATAAAAATAAAGTAAAAATTAAAACCAACCCGCTAACTTTACCACCTGCAGTCGTTGTGTGTTGAGTGCTGCCCCATTTCACTGTGTGCCCTATTGTGGCAGTAACTCTCTCTCGCACACAAGGCATTTTAAGGGTAAGCTTACTTTCCTAAGTAATTTGTGAAAATAGGATTACCCGCTAAAATATGGCCCCCTCTTTCCCCCACTATACTTATCTTTTGGCAAACAGTCCTTCTCCCCCACCGGTAAGGGTGTACTATCCGTACCCTGTACCTGTACCAGCCCTGCGTTATGGATTTTGGCTTTCAGTTGTAATTTGCAAGCACTCGGTCAGCGCGGTCGGGTGATCAAAGGCTTTCAACGTGGTAATAATCTGAACCACATTCGACCGGGAATCATAGCTATTGTATTTCCTTGTATTTTTCTATTTAGGTTTATCGTCTTTATCTGTAGGCACGGTATGAATGAAGAGCTGATGCTTATCTTCTCAAAGATGTTGAAAAAGTCAACAATTTCTATGGTGTGTATG